CCCCCCCCCCCCCCCCCCCCCCACAGGCTGGGAGCCCCTGGTGATGAGACCCGGGGCTGTGTCCCCCCATGCTGGGCACATCCGTGGTGGAGCCCAGGGTAGGGTTAGTACATGGGGACAGTGGAGGAGTCGGACGCCGGTGGAGGTCACGGTGAGAGAGGTGACCACGGGTGTCCTGGCTGTACGAGGCTGGTGGTTGGTGCTGGGGGACGTCCAGGGCTCTGCGCCCCTCGGTTCTTCTCTCCCAGCCTCAGTTTCCACTTCGGTGAAAGGGGCCCATAGCTGGCTTCTCGGGCTTGCTCGGGGACCGCGGTGGCCCTCAGGGCGGGCGCGGGGGTGTTCTCGGCACCGGGTGGGGTAGCCGTAGGGGCGCACGGAGGGGACGTTTGGGCGGCTGCGGGGGATGGGAGCGATGGCCCAGGCGGCTCGTGGTAAACAGCTCCGACTGGAGCCCGGATCGATTCGGGCTGCGAGGAGCTGTAATTAGATTGAACGCCGGGAAGGGGGGCGAGCGGAGCCTCTTTTTGCTGCGATCGACAAAATGCGAAGTTTTTTTTTTTTTTCAGGACTCTGCTTCGCCGGCCCCTCCCCCAGCCTCTGCCTCTGGGGCCCCCATTAGGCACTTGATTGGGGACGGGGCGTGGGGGAGGTGGAGTGAGAAAGGGACGACCCTCGTCTTTCCCTTCCCCCTCTGTCTGGGCCATGCAGCTCTGGTTGCTGTCCTGTCCCTGGCGGGACACGCTGGGCAGCCTTGGGCAGTGGGTCACCTTCTCTGAGTAAAGGGAAAAGTCCCAGCCTTATGGGATTCCTACAAGGATTGAATGATAGGATACCATACGGTAAGGTTCTTGACACAGATCTTGTAGCTTTCTGAGGAGCACTGGTATTTCTGTCCCTACTGCAAATGTAAGGTGACTCTGTGAGTAAATTGCTAAGTGAATGAATGAATGAATGAATGAATGAGTTAAAGATTACAGCAGGTGGGCAAGAACGGTGTCCACTGGAATTTAAAGGCTAGGGCTAAGTTTTGACTTTTCCCCTGGACTCATTGCCCAAGACTCAGCTTTCTTTTTGAAAGAATGAGGTCCTGGTCTCATCCTGTGACCCTCACAGGGTGGCCAAGTCCCAAAGAGATGGGAGGTAAAGGCAGTTCCTTGTTTTTTTCTAGTGTTTCTTTATACACACAAAGTATGAATATATGTTCTTGTCGCCCCTTTCGTACACAAAAGGCTGCCTGGTACATCATTTATTCTCTAGGCTTTGCTTTGCCAGCTTTCTATATCCAGCTCTCTTCTGACTAAATCAATTGCCAGTAATTAACATTTTCATGGTTTGGGGGAATAGTGTCCCCAGCTGAGCCCTGTGGAGTACTAGGATTGCATTTCCTTTCTTGCACAACTGTCTGATTTTCCAGGAGTTACTAGTTGCCAATCACGAATTTCTCCCATACTCCCCAACAAAATGCAAAAACAACTCTATAATATTTTCCACACGTATCAGGTCATCTCCCCTTAACACTTCCCTTGGTGCTCCTGCACCCGTCTGGGCGGGACTGCCCTCCATGCCTTCAGTGCCTTTGTCTAGCTGTCTTCCAGGGTCTCCCCTTCCTCATCATTTGGGGAACTCCTTTTCTATTTCTCCTAGGTTGGATAACATTTCCTGAATCCCACCATTCCCTTTTTTGATTTACCTCCTCATTTGGATGGAGCACATCCTGCAGTAGCCTTCTGAGAAAGGGCGTGCAGAAAGTCAACATATGGAGTCTATGAATGTATGACTCTATTTTTACTCCAGCTTCATGCTTGGTGTCTGGATATTTGGTAATTCTAGCTGAATAAAAATTTAAAAAGCATTGCTCCACTGTTTCCTAGTTTTTGAGAAACCCAAAGCTGCTCTGGTTCTTGATCCTTCATATGACATCCGTCTTTCTTCTCTGGAAGCTTTTAGGATCTTCTCTTTACTCCTGGTGCTCTGAAATTTCACAAGGAGGAGCCTCAGCGAGTCTCTTTTTTCGTTCATTGAGCTGAGCACTTAATGAGTTCTTTTAACCTGGAAACTCACGTCCTTCCACCCTAGTTCTTTATTATTATTATTTATTTGACCATCTCTTCCTCCAGTTTTGAATTGTCCCTTGATCAGATGACAAACCTGCTTAATTCATTCTCTAACTTTATTATCATCTTTCTCTCCTTTCCCATATCTACTTTGTTCTGTGTTCTGCGATATTTGCTTAACTTTATCTTCCAATTCTTACATTGAATTATTTTATGCTGGCTATTAGATATTTAAATTCTAAGAGCATTTTCATACTCTTTGTTTATTTATTGGCGACTGGCCAGTACAGGATACAAACCCTCGACTCTGGTGCTTGGTATTATCAGCACTGGCTCTAACCAAGTGAGCTAAGCGGCCAGCCCTTTCTTACTCTTTAATTGTCCCTTTTAGGAGGCTGGATGGTTATCTAAGTGGTTAGAACACAGTGTTATAAGACCAAGGTCAAGGGTTTTGATCCTAGTACTGGCCAGCTGCCCTTCCCCCCCCAAAAAAAAACCTGTCCCTTTTATTTAACAGCATCCTGTTCTTGTTTCATGGGTGCAATATGTTTTTCTTACCCATCTGGGAATATTAATTATAGCTTTGCTTCCTTTGTTGGTTTCTTCTCAGTTTTTATCCCCCCTCCCCCCCTCTCCTTCTCTCTCTTTTATGTTCGATGCTTTTCTAAGAGTCCAGTAACCTGAAGACATCACTCTTATTTAATCATAAAACCTGCAACAGCTGATTAGAAGCTCCACGCATCCCAGGTCAGAGGGAGTGAAGTGGTATGTCAGCTCACACACTAGACAGGGGGCCTGTTGTCCCTGAGAAATGAGTCACCTCACAGGAACATTCATTTATTTTTGCAGACGTGTATGGTCATTGATCTAGTCTGCCACCTGGTCCGGACTGTTTGGAACCAAAAAAAGCAAGCTCGCTGTGTGGTCCCAGTAGGCCACCAGGGCTGGTACAGAGGAGAGGCTGGCTGCAGGGACCTGCTCTACCACCTGCACCACCTGCCGCTTCTGGGGGCGACCAAGTAGCTGGAGCAAAGGGTTGGGGAGGGAAATTGGGGTTCTAATTGAGTTCAAGCTGATGCCATAACCTCCCCAAGCCCCTGGGTGGGGGAGCCAACTGTGAAGCCCATTCTGTCCACCCACTGCCCTTGCTGCATTGAGGGGAGGGGTCTGCTTTGCAGCTGGGGTAGGGAGCAGCACTCAGCTACTGCTGGTTTCCCCTTTACAAGCCTCCTGTAGCCCCAGAGGAAGGGCGACCTACTCCCCTGGGGGAGGGCCGGGTGGTCCCTGCACTTCACTTCCTCCTCCAAAGTCTCCTTCCTTAGATCCTCTCAGCTCCAGAGGGTCCACTGGGTGCTCGAGGGAGGCCAAGTCTAGGTAGGTCTCAGCCTGCTGATGGGAGTGGGGGCAGATACCAGACTCGGGCTGTAGACTCTAATGTCAGCCTGATATGGGGTCCCCATGCTCCTTAGTCTTCCCAGGGACAGGCCAGGGGAGGAGGCATGCTCTGTCTCTGCCATTCTTAGAACCTGGCTGCCGCGGTCTGGGACGCACCCCAGGTCCTATTAATCAAGCTGTTCTTTCACCCAAGTGTACACTGAGCTGAATAACTCGCATGTAGAGTTCCCACGTTATTTCCCCAGCATCCCCCAGGCTGGGGCTGCAGAAAGCCACCGACACCAATTTTTGTAGTATTTGGGGTTGGGAGCCTTTGCAGGGGGGAAGGGTGGGGGTGGACCAGGGGGTTGGGAGGGAGGCGCCCGGGATTGACTCCACGGTGGGGGGGGGAGCCATGTCTCCAGAGCTGTGCTCACACCATGTCCCCCCCCCCCGCCGCCTGCTTCCCCACGTCGGTCCCCCCACGCACGACTCTCTGCCCTGCCTCGTTTTCCATTCCTGGCTCTCCACCGCCCTCTGGTCCTTGTCCATGTCGCCCTTTCTCTTGACCTTTCTGTGTTTCCCTGTGTCTGTCGCCCCTTGCTTCTCTGTCCCCCCCGTGTGGTCTGGCTCCCGCACTCCGCGTCCTGCCGTTCCCCGGCCTGCCGCGCGGTGGCGCTGCCTCCCGCTCGCCCGCTCGCCCGCAGCCTGCAAGCGCAAGGAGCAGGAGCAGCAGAAGGAGCGCGCGCTGCAGCCCAAGAAGCAGCGCCTGGTGTTCACCGACCTGCAGCGGCGCACGCTCATCGCCATCTTCAAGGAGAACAAGCGGCCGTCCAAGGAGATGCAGGTCACCATCTCGCAGCAGCTCGGCCTGGAGCTCAACACCGTCAGCAACTTCTTCATGAACGCGCGGCGCCGCTGCATGAACCGCTGGGCCGAGGAGCCCGGCACGGC